GTGCTACCCAGGAGGTTACTAAGAGTGCACCAGGCACACGACTTCCAACTATCAATTTGACAAACATCCTTAACCATTTTATTTGCCTTTATATCCCTTCCTTAGCTTTGATAATCCATCAAACTTACTGTTGGTAGCCTGTTGCACGGCAGCTCTGGGAAAGCCTCTGATGGAATAAAAGCTGGATTGTTGTTTATGATAAAGAACCATCAGCAAGAACGTGGAGTTAAAAAAAAATAATCAAACAACAAAAACCCCTCCTATACTTTCAGAAAAATTTCCCTTTGTGTTAGGAAATTAAGCTCTCAGTCAGGATTTAAGCATGTGATCTATTTCAAGGGAGGTGATTCTCCCCCTTTGCTCTTGTGAGATCCCATCTGGAGAACTGTGTCCAGCTCTGGAGCCCCCAACATAAGAAGGACATGGAGCTCCTGGAGCAAGTCCAGAGGAGGCCACGAAGATGCTCCCTCCGAGGGCTGGAGCAGCTCTGGAGACAGGCTGAGAGAGTTGGGGTGTTCAGCCTGGAGAAGGCTCCAGGGAGACCTCAGAGCACCTTCCAGTGCCTGAAGGGGCTCCAGAAAAGCTGGGGAGGGACTTTGGGCAAGGACAGGGAGGGATGGGACGAGAGGGAATGGTTTCAAGCTGAAAGACTGGAGATTTAGGTGAGACATTAGGAAGAAATTCTTCATTTTGAGGCTGGTGAGACTGGACCAGATTGCCCAGGGAACCTGTGCCTGTCCCACCCCTTGAAACTTTCAAGGGCAGGTTGGATGGGGCTTGGATGGACCAGGTTGCTCCAACCTGGTCTAGTGCGACTTGTCCCTGCCCATGGCACAGGGGTTGGAACTGTAAGATCTTAAAGATCCTTCCACCCAGACCAGTCTGGGATTGTGGGATTCAGCACATGGATTCATCCAGGCACACACTGCAGCACTGCCTGGAACCCAACTGCTCTTCCTGACTGAGAAACCCAAATGACACCCAGTCAGGTATTCCTGGCAGCAGCAGACACCAAAGGACCATTATCTGCATAGATCACTTTTCTTTTAATAGGCAGGGAAACGGAGCAGGCAGATGAGCTGCTGGTCTCCAAGGATCCCTACCAGGCTAACAGCAAAGCTGGGAATAGCCCCAAGGTCTCCGAGTGCTGAATCAAGCTGCTGCTCTGACTCATCCTGGGAAGTGTTTGCTAAACACTACCAAGCTTTGCAGAAGTTTCACATGCTGTGTCAGCTGTTTGGGTAGGAAAAGCAATTCCAAGTACTCTAAGGTCAACTCATCAGCCTTGGCATTGATTTCTTCATGAAGGCCTCATGTTTGGAAGCCAGTGAGGGTTATTTCTGGAACCCATCTGTATTTACAGTAGTCAAGATTTGCTGGGACACTAACAATCATCCTAGAAGTCTGGAATCCTGCTGCTAAGCACAGAGGTAGAACATCTTCCCAGTTCATTTGTTATGTTCTGACAGCAAAACAAAGCATTTGTTTTGCAAAAGAATTTTGGCTACAGGATGAGCAGGGCTTGAAAACCTACAGGTCTCTGCAGCCAAGGTAGAACAACCTATTTTTACTTGATTTTTGGCTATTGAGATTCTTTCTTGCTCTTCTCTCCAGTGAACAGGGATGCAAAAAAGCTTCAGTGCATGATCTATGCAGTGGCTGTGACACACACTTTGAAGGAGTCATACCCCTTACCTTTTCCAGGAGGAAACTGAAGCTAAAACTATATCCATTTATCAATTCTGTATCCAGCAGGATTACTAAGCACCTCAGGGGAGGGAAGTCCAGACAGATGAGGCATGTGAAGCAGCGACATCGCACTCCACTGGCCCTCCTGGTAGTCTGTAATGTTTAAGATTTGCAAGGAATATGATGACTAATGTGTCCTGAACAAAACCAGACCTGGCCATTGCATTCCTTTCAAGAAGTCCACGTGGGAGAGGAGAATCTCAGGTCGGAATATTTATTTACACAGATTTCACATGCACCATGTGGGTGCAGCAGACAAGGAGCTAGGACAGTATCTGGCACAAAAAGCCAAGCAAAACATATCCTGGCAATAATTTAGAACAAAGCCTTTGCTTGTCATTTTCCTCTCCAAAGGGGGAAGCAGGCAAGAGGAAAGCATTAACTGCTCACATCCTCTTCAAAGGTGTAGGAGGAGCAAAGTCCTTGGATTTCAAAGCAACATGACAGCACCTTCCCACCACCACCAAAGTAGGGCTAAAGCTCAGCAAAACAATAAAACTCAAGCTGCAAATCTCACCTACATACAGTGTTACATACAATCCACTCGTGCCACAACCAATAAAACTCAAGCTGCAAATCTCACCTACAGTAAGTGATAGTGTTACATACAATCCACTCGTGCCACAATAGCAAATGATTTGTGTATTGCTCAAAAGCCTATGATCTCTTTTGCAGACTTTTCCCAAAAGTGCACACGTGGCTGCAACGCTCCCAGCCTGGGCCTTTACCCACAGACTTCTCACAAGCAAACCCTGGTCAGACACTTGGCAGTTTTATTTTACACTGTTGAAGAAAGATTATGATTGTTCTAGTAACTATGTCAGACTGTAACATTTGCAAGGATAAAGGGGGATGGCTGGGAAAGGCAAACTGTTGGATTGCATTGGATTTTATTCCTGTGTACAGAAATACCCTTCCTAGGGTAATAAAACTTGCATCACAAGTTTTTCTCTAGACTCCCCACTTGAACACACACACGCTTGCCAGCAAACCAAGCAACGGAAGGCAGGAGACCTTCCCACAGGTTCCATGCAAATGGATGTTTTCCCAAGGCCCAGAAGAATCCCAAGAGGAGTGCTGCTGTACCTGCGAGGCCAGTCTCCTCATGGCCTCCTCCTGCCGCCGCCGCATCTCGGGGGTCCCTGGGCAGCTCCCGCTGGCGATGGCCGAGTGAGCAGAGGGTGGCTGGGCCAAGGGCAGCTCTCGGTTTGCATCCACATCTGTCCAGAGGAAAGAGGTTGTCAATGCCACGAGGAGAGCCTGGAGAAAAGAAGGCTCAGGGGAGACCTTATCACCACGTTCCAGTACTTAGAGGGTGGCTCCCAAGCAGATGAAGACTCCCCGTTTACAAGGAGTCACATGGAAAAGACAAGGGGTGACGGGCACAAGCTGCTCCTGGGGACATTCAACTGGACACAAGAGGTGAATTTTTCACCATGAGGGCAGTCAACTATTGGAACAGGGGAGTGGTAGATTCCCCCACATTGGACAGTTTTAAGTCTCAGCATGACAGGGTGCTGAGCCACCTCATATAAACTGTAGTAGCCCTAACTAGTGATTTCTTTATTTTAGGAATGTCCCAAAAGCCACAGTTGTCTTCAGTGCAGTCTGTACCAGCAGAGGGTTCTCCTGACTGCATTTCTGCAATGCACCCTCCAGCTTGTCTTGAAATTATAACACAAACCATGACCCATTTAATGGCAAACAACAAAGGAGCATGACCACTGCCTACAGAATTAAAATATGGAGCATGAAACACCACCTTCACCTGTATTCTTTGTCAGAGACAGGAAATTAATAGCATGAGGCTGTATTTATGCCACACTGGAGGTGACAGCACAAATGCTGTAAAATAGTCAGGTCACCTGGTCAGTATTTATTATTAAATATAGATTTTTTACTAAGTGTAATAAGATTTTTTTTTTCCGCATGTGAAAAAATAATCCAAGAAACTTGAAGGATGATTTTGTTCTCGATAGCTGGACAAGGACTTGTGATCTGTTCAGAAAATAAGTCAAATTAGTTGACTGATTCTGAAAGTCTCCATCCCAGTGACTAACACCAAGGAATCATTCAGCTTTTAGCTTCCTGAACCAACCAGGGTGGGAACTAAACAAGAGTGAGTTTGGTGTGAGCAAGGATCTTTGTGCTTTCTGTCTGAGATGCAGGGCACCTTCTCCTTGGAAATACCCAAACTTTTAGCCCAGAGACAGTGAAGTTCAGTGTCTCTGTGACCTCTGCAATCCCTCTAAGCAGACTGGGGGGACATGCAGAGCTGCAGTTCAACACAGACCCAAGCCCTGCCTGCAGACTGTTCATTTCTCTGCACACTGTTCATTTAGCTGTGACAAGTGACACTACTCCACGTGCCAGCACTTGGTGGCATTTCAGGTACTTCGACAGGGCTCAGAGAACTGCACTCCAGCAAAGAGACTGAACTAGAGATTCACTGAGATCCAGTGACCTAGATCCTCACAGACACCTTTAGGTACCCAACCCACTATTTTCAGTCCTGTCTTACTCACTTGCAGATTTTAAAAATGTTGTCATCCCCACCCACAAACGTGTCAGCAGGGAGAGATGTGAATTGGATGGGATGAGAAGAGGGAGAGCAATCCTAGGTGCTCAGCCTGCAAGGGCTTGTGACCCACCCTGAGCATTTATATCATGATAAATGGGAAGAAAAATGCAGCAGCATGGATTTAGAATAATAGGATATTGGCAATCGCTCTCCACAGGTACCTGAAAAGAGGTTGTAATGAAGTGGGGTTGGTCTCTTCTCCCTGGTAACAACCGACAGAACAAGAGGAAATGGGCTCAAGATGCACCAGGAGAGGTTTAGATTAGATATTAGAAATAATATCTTATCTTATTCTTATTAGAAATAATATCTGAAAGGGTGATTAAGCACTGGCACAGGCTACCCAGGGAGGTGGTTGAGTCTCCAACCCTGGAGAGAGACATATAGATGTGGTGCTGAGGGACATGGATGTGGCAGAGTTGGGTCAGTGGTTGGCAGAGTTATGTTATGGTTGGACTCGATGATCTTAAATCATCACAGACTCGATGATCATTTTTCCAACCAGAGTGATTCTGTGACTAAAATTGGGAGCCTTCCCAATAAAAGAAAAATCTGTGATGTTTCTAAGGCAGAGAAATAGAAGACAGACTATTTTGAGTCTTCAGAAAAGTAGGTTTGGAACAGCAGCAGCACAAATATTGCTGACAGGTGCTTCCTTTTGCTTGGCGACAACGACCAAGCTGCTTTCTGCTGAAGAGGAAGGGGATGTCGGGAGCCAAAAAGCAGATGGGGAAAGGTCTCTGGTTTGCTGCAGCTCCCTGAGTTGCTGCACTTACGTTTGGGAGAGGCGTGGGGGCTGTCGGAAGCGATCTGCCTCATCCGTGTGCCGTGGCAGCTGAGGGCCACCAGCCTGGAGATGATGGCGGTCTTGCCGAAGCCGATGTTGCCCACGATGACGACGCCGCGGTTGACGCTGGCGTTGGGGCTCTGCAGCTGCGCGTCGATCTCGTGGAACACCCAGTCCCGCCCCACGAAGACCGACTCGGTGGTGATGCTGGGCACCTCGAAGAGCAGGGGCTTCAGGGAGATGTCAGGAGGTCTGTAGGGTGCGAAGCGCACTGGAAGGGAGAACAGAAACACCAACGCTACCAACCAGACCAGAGCTGGGAAACTGCTGTTTCATCTTCCTAAGGAATCTTTTCGTTCCAAAAGGTGACACAGTTCCTGGGTGATGTGCTCTAGGTGACCCTGCCTGGCAGGAGGGTTGGACTAGATGATTTTTCAAGGTCCCTTCCAACCCCTAAGATTCTGTGATATGCACGAGGTTGGACCTAGATGGTCTTTAAGGTCCCTTCCAACCCATACCATTCTATGATTCTATTAAACACAATCCTGTTACCCACAGGTTTGTCATTAAAAGCATCTGGCTCCTGAGAGGAGGCTGGAGGGAGGTGGGTGTTGGGCTCTTTTCCCAAGTAGATAACAAAAGGACAAGAGGAAATGGTCTGAAGTTGCACCAGGGGAGGTTTAGACTGGATATTAGGAGGAATTTCTTTCCCCAAAGAGTGGTCAGACCCTGGAATGGGCTGCCCAGGGAGGTGGTGGTGTCACCATCCCTGGAGAGATTCAAAAACCATGTAGACATGGTAACCTTAGGACATGAACACATGGTGGGTTTGTTGGTTTGTTTCATGTTATGTGTGAGTTTTTTGTTGGTATTTTGTTTGTTTGCTTTTTTCCTGGCTGGACAGTTTCACTTAGTGATCTCAAAAACCTTTTCCAACCAATTGTGTGATTCTGTGATGTACCACCAAAGGAACACAGAGCATTTTACAGGAATAAGTAGTTTACAGGTGAAGAAATTGTAGCTGGAGAAATGAAATTTCTGGCTTAAAGTCACCACCATTAAGGGCCCTGCCCCAGGCAGGATGTTCACTTGCCAAGGCAGCTTCCAATGGAGACTCTCTGGTTTCTTTGAAGTTCTAAAAGGCACTTAAAAAGCACGACCATCAGTCAGCAACTGCTGATGGCACTCACTTCTGCACCCACTCCCCTGCCATGTGGATGTGTGGGTGGTGGGTTCATCCACCCACAGGCCTCCTGGCTGGGCCTGAAGGTCCTCAGGGCTGGAAATGACACTATTGCTCCCACTTTTGTACTGAACTCACTGAAAAAAAAATTGATTAAATTACCCTGTCCCCACACCCTGACCCCATCCCTGCACTGGGACCCTTCCCTAGGAGCCACTGAACGGATGATCTTCAGATCTTCCCAGACCTGACCAAGGAGCTCATCCATCCCTTCCAGAGCTGATAAAGGGGATGGAACTTAATGTGACATCACAGCTCCTATTTTAAAATGTTCCATATTCTGAATTCCCCCCCCCCTTTTTTTTTTGGCTGATACAGACAACGCTGCAGACAGGAGCTGTATTTTTATTCCCACTTGAAGATGATGAATGTGCTTTCAATTTATCCCAGGGTGGAGATGGCTTTTGAATTGCATGAGCTCACAGGCAGCTCGTTCCACTCCCCTCGTCAGGCTCTGTCACGCGAGCGCAGCAGGACGTGCTGGCCCAGGAAGGTGCTGGAGAAGCAAAATCCCTGGTGTGGGAGGGGAGGAGGCAGCTGGTGGGGACAAGGCAGCCCTGGGGACATGTGTTCCCATGTCTCCATCACAGCTCCTGGCTCTCAGCCTCAGTGGGACTAATGGGCTTCCCACCAGAGGATGGCATCTTGCACGAGCTTGAGCACATGGATGGGCCGAGACAACCAGCAGCAGGGTTCCCAGTGATGCAAATGAAACATTCCAGCAGGGAATCTGATCAGGGATTTTTTAATTTTTTATTTTTTTTTTCTTCATTCTGACACCAATACTATATATAGAATATGGAATTAAAAAAATAAATGAGAAAAAAAACCCAACAAACTGCTCCATTTGGAAAACATCAGGCTGAGATTTGTGCTCGATAAGCTCCAGCTTTTGTTGTGTGTGTCGACATGATCTGTGAGTCAGTGAGGGAACATGTGCAGTGATGCTCTTCTGAAAGCCAGGAGCCTGACAGGTACCAAATGGTCTCTGCATTAGCCCCCAAGACAAGATGGATTAAATATACAAGCCATGGGATCCAATGAGCTCCTGCTTTACATGGTGGAGACCTGACGCCAAACTGGGTTTCTTTTCAGAGGTGCAGATGGCTCTGAGGCTGTGTGACCTGCACCTTGGACCATAGCAGCCCAAACAAAGGATGTCCTAAAGATTGGTCTTTATCTGGTTGGACATGAATCATAGAAACATAAAATCATCATGGTTGGAAAAAGACCTCCAAGATCACTGAGTTCAAACATCTGCCCAGGGGAAAGACCAAAAACCCAACAAAAAACCCAAACCACAACCACACACCCCACAAAACCACCACCAACACACAACCCACAAAAACCCACCATGCCCATTACAACGTGCCCTAAAGTGCCACATCCACACATTTCTTGAATACCTCCAGGGATGGCCACTCCACATGAATATACACATCTCAGGAGGTCACCTGAGCAAAGCATCTCCTGTCCTAAAAAAGGCTCAACAAAACCCTGAGAAGAAACATCCCCACTTATCTGGGTATGGGGGTTGGAACTAGATGATTTTTAGGGGGGGTTGGTGAACTAAATGATCTTTAAGGTCCCTTTCAACTGAACCATTCTATGAACTACTCTATGATCTACTTACACCCAACCTTCCTGCCCCTCCAGACCATCCAACACCACCAGTCACTGACCACAGCAGAGTAAACCTCCCCTCCCACCAGCCTGGTGGGACAGTTCATTACTTCAGGCTTTGTAACCCCAGGGCTCCTGAAGGGCAGGAGATGCTGGTGAGCATCTTGCTGCTAAGAAAACACTCAGTGCCACATTGGCTTGGCCACAAGTCCTGAGAACATGCTTTCTGTCCCACCAGCCACCAAAACCACCTCCACGTGCCAGCAGGAGATGTTTTATTTCACCACACCATCTTTGGAAGACAAAAGCAGCATCAACGTTTTCCTAGTTGGACTGTTGAGAAGGTTTATGAATAGTTTGAGCCTGCCATTGACTAACTGCAAGCCATGTGCCAGACCCTCATTAATTTCTGATACTGGCTGTTAAACCCTGCCAAAATCCTCCCCTCTTACTATTTATTTTACAACCTTCCACAGCCTGTGGTCCCCAAGAACAGGCAGGCAAGGAACAAAGCCAGGGAAAGACCCCAGAGCCCCAGGGGAATTTTAAACTCACTTGAAAGAGTTGAAAAAAATAAAAATCCCACGTTTCAGGGAAAGGACATCAACATTTGGGGCAGCAAACTGAAGTAAAACACAATGGAAAGGGTTTTGGAAAAGAGGGTAAGAAGGTTCAGAAGTATCAGGTGCACACGTTTGGGATGAATCCTATCAAGCCACTTGACCTGAAAATCAAAGTATGTGGATAAACTGCCTTCCTATCCTTGAAAAACACTTGCTGGGCTTTATATTTCTTTTTTTCATGAAGCATTTTATAGAATTTAAGCCAGAGTATCCCAGAAATACACAGAACTTCTGATAATACCTTAATAGAAATTAAACCCACACTAGAAATGAGTGTGTGGACTGGGACAGAACAAGGTCTGGTGTAAAATTGTCATGAGAGCTGCTGAGATACTGAGCAAACTTCTGAAGATCCCAAGCAATAAATTCAAATCCCAAGCTGAAACACTGCCTTCCACACCCATCCTGGCTCTTTCTTGTAGCTGAAAACTTCAATTAAATCAAACTAAAGCTGATTTCATTATGTGCAGGATTGAAAAAAAAAAAAAGTAATTGGGCTGAAACAAGCAGGAGCAAAATCAGAGGAAGGTCCACCCTCTGCTACAAAAAGTGCATTTTTAGTTGAAAGACTCCAAAATGCCTGTTCAGAAATTGCTTCACAGACTCCTCTCTCTTCACACAGGGATTTTTCCCAGCTATGCTGGCAACCAGCACCCACAGCTCATTACTTGTTTTACATTTAAGTCGAGATGTGTCTCATTGTTCTTTCAGTGTCCCCTGGTGGAAGATCCACCTTGCTGGCCAAAGAAAGCCCCTGCAGGGCCAAGCTGCAGAGCTTGGACATTGCCAGTGTGCTGGGAGGAAGCCCAAGTGAGAAACACTTTCACATTTCTCACAACGAGCAGTGGTTCTGCACAACACAGCATCAACCAGCATCCGTGTCCTTTGTTAAACAAGAACCCAAACACCAGCCCAAGGTCTGAGCTTATTTCCTGGACTCACTCGAGGCTGCAGTTTCTTTCAAGTGTCACAGAGTGATGGAATGGTTTGAGTTGGAAGGGACCTTAAAGATTCCAACCAGTCCCAACTCCCCTGCATGGGCAGGGACACCTCCCACCAGCCCAGGCTGCTCCAAGCCCCATCCAACCTGCCCTTTAACACCTCCAGGGATGGGGCAGCCACAGCTTCCCTGGGCAACCTGGGCCAGGCTCTCACCACCCTCACAACAAAGAATTCCCTCCTCATGTCTCACCTCAATATCCCTCTTCCAGGTTTAATTCATTCCCCCTCATCCCATCCCTCCCTGCCCTTATCCCAAGTCCCTCCCCAGCTTTCCTGGAGCCCCTTCAGGCACTGGAAGCTGCTCTAAGGTCTCACTGGGGCCTTCTCTTCCCCAGGCTGAACACCCCAACTCTCCCAGCCTGGCTCCAGAGCAGAGTTGCTCCAGCCCTCAGAGCATCTTCATGGCCTCTTCCGTGCTGACATTCACATTTTTGAGAAAACAAAACCATCATGGCAGCCATTGGGATGTTCTAATACCATGTAATTTGGTTACCATCTGGCTCCTGCTCCAAGGTTCATCACAGTCACCATTGCTGGGGGCTACAACCACCCCCAACAGCTTCAAATCCCACCAGCTGAAAACAGGCAAAGCAAAAATTGCCTTCTCCATCCTATAAAGAACCTGCTGCTGGTACCAATACTTGTCATGCTCTTGGCCATTGGGATTGCTACATTACTCCCTTGCTTAAAATAACTGATTTAACAAAAAATAGCAGGGACAGCCTCCCATTTAGTTTCTCTGCACTGGGATTCTGGAACACTGGGAACAAATCAGTGTATGGAGCTGGGAATTGCTTCTGCATTTCAGCCCAGTGCCAAGATGAGAGACATGAAAATGAAACCCAAGTTTAGGATTTCCAGTTGGAACAAAGAGCTGGGAACAGCCCAGATCGATGCAATTCCACAGTAATATCTGGAACGTGTAGTATTTTGGGGAAAAAAAACCCTCTCACATATTCAACCAAATGAAAATATTTCCAAATAGTGGTGGTTTGGGTTTTTCACCTCCTCTTCTTCCCCCTCTTTTTTTAAAAATAGCACAGCACCTTAACTAGGATCAGAAGCAAACTCCCCCAAAACCTGAAAGGCTGCTGCTATTCTCAGCCAACCTTCCCTCCAAAAAAAGAAGAGGAAAAACAACAACAAAAAAGAACAAAAAGAAGAAAAAAAAAAAGATGTGGTGCTTCATGGTTCTAAAAGTGTGTCTGGAAAACAATTTGATTCTGTTCCTGCAATAAAGTTTAATGTTTTGGATGCAATCACTGCAAATTACCAACCCTTGGCAAGCTGCTCCCTTTGAACATATGGAAATTTTGTCTGTCAAACTTTGCTTTCTTCACTTTCTGCCTGCTAATACATTTTTATAACTGCCTCACCAGCCAATATGATTTCATTACAGACTCTGATCCAAAATGACAAAACCCACTTTTCTTTTTTTCCAGTGGGGGGCTCGTGCATTTGGTAGGAATCCCAACCAGGATGTAGCAGGTCATGCTTGTGGTGCTGGGTGGAAACCCAACCTGCCACCCCCCAGCTCCTGATTTCCTGACCCAAGGGTGGTGGGCACCTACTCAAAAACACCCCAGAGAAAAGTCTGAGCAAGCACCACCAGAACTCCCTCTGCTAAGTACAGGGAAGAACAAACTAGTCTCATGGCACAGCAACAACCAGGAACAATCCCAAGTGAGCTTTCTTGGTCATCCCTTCCTTATCCCTGGAAGTGTTCAAGGGCAGGTTGGATGGGGCTTGGAGCAACCTCGGCTGGTGGGAAGTGTCCCTGCCCATGCAGGGAGGTTGGAACTGGATGACCTTTAAGGTCATTTCCAACCCAATCCATTCCATGATGCTGTGATTTACTCATCTGCACGATGACAAATGCTGGGGATGAAGCATTAAGCTGAAGATCTGCTGCAGGTGCAGGATTGTCACAGGGGTGGCTTGAGGATGCAGCCACAGCTCATGCTCAGATTCAAAGGGGGATGATGGAAGTTGTGGGCTGGGCTGTAACCCCAAAGCCATGGGCTGAATCTAGCTGAAGGTGCCTGGAAATACTAAAAGGTCAGCTCTGGCTCCTCTTCTCATTGCTAAAGTCTTTTTTTGTTGTGGAATTTGCCAGGAAGAACCACAAAAACGTCCCCTCTCAAAAGGCCTTTCAGAAGTCAAAGGGCTGCCTGAATACTGGCATTGTGAGCATGAGGGACAGGTCAGGATGGTGGCTCCAGACACTGCACTTGGCTCCTTCCCCACTGAGACACACTGCATGCTGTGAAGCTGGGCCACAAGCCTTGGCTTTTATTCAATTAAAAAAGGAAGAAAACAATAGCAGCCCATCAAAAGGTCTCTTTTTTAGGAACTACCCAAGTATTGGTCCAAAACAATAACAACAAATCAAACCACAACCACACACCCCACAAAACCACCACCAACAAATAAGTCACAAAAACCCCACCATAGCACCAGAACAGCCCCTGAAGTGTCACACCCACATTTCTTGAACACCTCCAGGGATGGTGACTCCACCACCTCCCTGGGCAGCTGTTCCAAGGCCTCACCACTCTTTCAGTACAGAAATTCTTCCTAATATCCAATCTAAACCTCCCTTGGACAACTTCAGTCCTGTTGCTATTCATTTGGGAGAAAAGCCCAACACCCACCTCCCAAAGCCTCCTTTCAAGGAGCTGTAGAGAACCATGAGGTCTCCCCTCAGCCTCCTCTTCTCCAAACCAAACATCCACAGGTTCCCTCAGCCTCTCCCCGCAGGGCTTGCTCTCTGTTGTTCACAGAGAAGCATCACTACTGTCTGTAGAACACGCCTGCTCCAGCATTTTCAGGAGGACCTGGAGCTGCAGCAGAAGGTCCCAACCCAGAGACCCCAGAGAGACCCCAGGTGCTCCCACCTCTCAGATCCTGCTGTGCCCGGGCGCCCACCACGCTCTGCCGCGGCATCCGCAGGGAGGTCCTCAGGGGAGTGTGCCTCTGCTCATCCAGGTAGGCCAGGTCTTCTAAGTGGGCTGAGCTGGTGGCTGCCAGGAGAAAGCAAACAACTACATCACACCAAGCTTCCAGAAATAATACTCTGGTTATTGTGTTTTTCATATTTTTTTAAGAAAATACAGAGTTGTAACTTCACCAATTCAACGCTGCCAAGAACAACCAAGTCTAGTTTCCCCCAGCAAGGAGTAAGGAAGTGTTTTGGGAACTTTTCCTCATGCCCCATGGGTATTTGCTCTGGTTTGGTCTCCTGTTGATGTTCACAAATGAAAAGACACACGGAAGATGGAGACATGGAGCCTCTTAATACCTGAGGTTCTCCCAGTCACAAAACTCACTCCATCTCATGCACACAAAGGTTGCCACAGGCAGGTGGTATTTCCTTCCACATGAAAGACAACTCCATGGAGCACTTCATGCTGAAGTCCACAGTCCCCTCTTCAACTCCTTTAGAGCTCCTTAGCTTGAATTTTAACATTTATCTCTTCATAAGGCCAGAACCAGAGGCAGAAAAATTAAACTTTTAACAGACCAGCAAAAACAAAGGAATAAATGAGAGAAATGTTGTTTGAACTGAAGAAGGTGACTCTACTAGTCCAATGTTACTGGCTCATGGGAGAATTTAGTCTTCTTTACAATGCTAGATTAAATAGGAATAATTTTCTGGTCTCTGCTGAAGGTGTTATCATTGCATGAGTAAATGTGGTTGGAACAGAAACTGCAGCTAGAAACTTTCTCCCTCTACGAAAACTGGCAGATAATTCAGTGCAAGTTCTTTTTTTACTGCATTTTTGAACTGAAGCACATGGCTGGTGGGGATTGGAAGACGAGAGAAAATGTGGTCAAAACAAAACAAATTCTGATCACTTGCATCTGAATTCACCCCTTCTGCCACGTCAGGACCCTTCTCAGGCAAGGAAATGACAGAATATTTTGGAATGAAGGAATGAAAACCCCATTGCAGGAGATAAACTTCCCAGTTACACACAGAAAACTGAAAACCAGTCCCTGCAGATCACCAGCTCTTTCTGGTTTTGATAACCACTTCTAAATTCCCATTAAACATGTACTGATGGGAATCATGCTGCTCAATATTAGGCTGCTCAGTAGCCTGTATCCCACACTGCTTTTTCTCTCCCCCCCCCTTTAGTTTTTGGTCAATTACCATAACAAGATTATTATTTTTTTGAATTGAAGTAATTAATTAAATGACTCCTTCAAAGACTGCCTGTGAGGTTGACATTAATTCTTCACTGTGAAATGGGTAAATATTTTGATTGAGCTCCCTAGAATAGCTCAGGGCACTGGACTTTGCATCCTCCTCCCCTTGCCAGACAACACAAGATGTAACAATTCAACAGAACTGAAAGGCAGAAAATTTCACAATTGAGAGGAACATTTTTTCCCCACAATGTCTAATGACCATGTAAAAATCTTTACAAGATCTTGTTGCAGTCAAAAGCTACACAAGATTCAGAGACAGTAACACAGGGTGGGAAGGAGGGGCTTAGATTTGGCAAAAAATTGTGATTCAAATTGCCTGAACTCTTTAAGTTTTAAGAAAACTAGTAAGATACACAGAGAAGACAAGAGGTGGACAACAGGAGAGAAAAAAAAGAGGAGATAAACCATCAAAGTCTGTTTATAGAAGTCCTTCATGCTCTTCTACTCTTGTAAAGTTGATTAGATGTTCAGTGTGAAGGAGCAGATTGAGAGCTGAAATGCTGCAATTAAAAACCTGTGGGTTTAGGGCGGCTGGAAGTGACTTTGTGTCTGCACTAAACCTGCTGCAATCTCAGCATCTCCCCCTTCTACTCACCCTATGGGCACAGGCTCATGAAATGTGCCTCCAGAGAAGGAGACTCCATCACCTCTCTGGGCAGCCTGTCCCAGGACTCCATCACCCTCACAGGAAAGAAGTTCTTCCTCATGTTGAGGTGGAATTTCCCTGCATTCCAGTTTAAGTCAATCATGAAATACAGCTGGTTTCCTTCTCCCACCATTCAGGTAGAGAGATAACAAGATTAACTGGTCTGGGGAAAATCCCACCCAAATCTCTTACCTGGAAAACATAATTTTCTGGTGCCATGAACTCAGAGGAGACCACAGGAGATCACTTGATGAGATCCAGCTCTTATAGTCTGGCCCATAGTTACTACCACAACAATTTATGCACTGGGTTACCTGACAGGCTACTTAAAAGCAGCAAAGCCCCAGTGAAATTAGACCAGTCAGGTGGAAAAGGTGTTCCCAAACCTTGCCAGATAGTTTTCTTTTGAATCAGTATTTGCCTTCAAATGCACCAAGCAAGCCAGTGACTTCCAAAGTAAGTGAATCATAGAATCCACACACACTTCTTTAAATGTAAGGTACCTGGCCCTGTTTTCTTCTGGTGTTCACATGGTGTCATTTATAAGCAAGGAATCTCAAGGAATGGGGTTATGCCAGAGGACCTTCCTACTTTTTTTCCTACCCCCTCCCTCCATTCTGCAATCTCAGGCTTCTCCTCTTTCAGTAGCACCTGATGCTGTTCCTCCATGCTCAGGGTGCCCAGACTTCAGCATCTACAAAATCTCATTTCTGCATCACTTTCAGGCCTATGGATGTCCAGAGGGGGATTTAAAAGGGAACCTAATCTAGTTATGCAATGCAGCCTGCCCTGCCAAGAGATGCTGTTTTCACAGACAATATCCTGGGCTCTGTGCAGGCTGGATTTTCTGGAGCAGCATCCATGACTCCAGGCAGCAGGAGGAGCCTGCAGGGACTCTGCAAAAAGGACAAAGACTGTATTTCTCCATGTGTCCACACACAGACAGACCACCTCAACAGGATGTTTAGCCCTAGAGAAGTTACCCAGCACCAAATAAAATACGGGGCAGCAAAGAAAAGGAGAATAATTCCTGGCAAGCAGCTTTTCAGTAAAGCTTTAGAATTTTTAATCCTATCTCTTGTTTCCTTCCTGCTGTTACCAACTCCAGGGGGAAGCTTAGCAGGCTGTTAAATGACATCAATGAGATCTGTCACAGCATCATTTAGAAATCTTTCGAACAGCAGACATGAAGTAAAATTAAGAAAATCTTGATGTTGTGCCAAAATAAAAAAAAAAATGCAGCCATTAGCAAGTCCCAGATGCTGCAAAAGCCAAAGCAGCACGTGCACAAACACGTGCTGAGACAACGGGGCAGAGTCCACCCAGAGAGGTGGGATCCATAACAACCTTCCTGTAGACAGAAAGTATCATGATTCTCTTCACTCTGAAGTTCTTAAGATCTTCAGAGACCAGACACTTGATTTTACTTGTAATGAATCCTTGGAAACAGGAGAAATGGCTACAATGTCTTGGAATTTCTAGGGAGCTTTAAGTCCAAGATTATTTGAATGGCAGTGACAGCAAAGACTTTTTCAAAAAAGACTTATTCTCCAACAATCTTATAGTTGCACAATTTTGCAAAAAAAGGGACCAGAGAGTGCTGAAATAACCATTAAACATAGTAAGAATGAGTTTTCCCCCCAGGAATTTTCCATTTAGAAACAACAACTCCAATGAAAAGACAACGTTTTTCATGCTTAATGCCAGTGATGACAGAAAGGAGATTTCCCATTGGATAATGAGAACATGGAGAAGGCTGCAACACGAATGCACCGTGTCTTGCTCTGAGTTAAAGGCAAAAAATGTTTCTTACCTGCTACTGAATTTGGCCGTGGCATAAGGTAAAGAGGAATAGACTGCACTGACTGGGACAGGACAGTCTCCAGGTTCCTCTCGGGGATCTTGTTCAGGCTGTAGGTGGAGGCCGTCATGTTCTCGTCCACGCGGTACAGGCAGGAGTCCATGCTGGATTTCTGGGACTGCCAAGGCTTCAGGTTTCCTCCAGATCCAAGTTCTTTACTGCTTTCTCCTCCGTATTTAGTGCGTTCCACATTCTCTGAGTAGCTTGTCAAAGTAGCTGGGAAGAAGAAATCAGAACCAAAATGAGGAACAAAGAAAGAAGGGCTTGAACACACGCTGCTCCATGCTGCCTTGTGCAAGGCAAGAGCCAGAAATTCTCTTCATCAGATTTTCCACATTCCCATAAATCAGAGATTATGACATTTAGTTTCATGATACTGTTTCTGCTTGCTACTTCTCAAAGAACATTTAGGCTCTAATGTTTTGGCTCATACTGTTAAAAGCCATTTGTAACTACAAGGAGTATTAAAAATGATGTGCAGCGTTGTGTTTGGACAGACAATTCCAGCAAGAGCAGAGATTATAAAGAAAAAGACATTATCAGTGTTCTTATCTTTTACTTTGCATCGTTGCTACCACCTTGCCAGGGCATGTTTGCAGAAATTTATACCCTTGCAATGTTGGACACTGAAAAGCCAGAGGCACAGAAAGCCCCCAGCTGCCTTGAATTAACCACCAGCTCCCAGGGATTAGTTTGGTCCAGGAACTGAACTCAAGACCTCATTTGACTGACAAGAGGTTTTGCTGAAGCCCTGACAGCAATCCCCACATTCTCCCTATTTTTTTCATTTTACAGATAAGGATTGTTGCTATATTAACTTTCACACTGGGAAATGACCACACTAACCACTAACATCTTCTCCCTGCTGGTCTTTTCTGGATCCTGCTGCTGTTACCCCCGGCTGTAACACCCTCTGGGCTGTTGACTTTCCTTTCATCTTTAGGCTCCCACATATTTGTTCAAGGTCATAACCAGACCTCTTAGGTATGAAGAGAAGGTCACAGAGCCCATATCAGCTCATCTGAGTGTGTCAAACTTGCCTGCTACCTAACTTAAGGGGGAAAATGAGAAAAGAAAGAAAAAAATAAAAGAGGAAAAAATAAAACAATAAACCAGAGCTGAGGATCCTTCCATTGTCCCTACCACTCATTTTCCACTGCTATTCAAACTCCTGAAATTCAACTTGACCCTGAATATTCCAAAGCCTCAGATGTGCTTGTAAATCCTCTTGCTAAACCCACTGAAACCCATCATTTTCACTGAGCCCTGATGAACACCTTTCCCAGCCCAAATTCTCTGGTAATTTCTGTCAGGTGTCCCTAGGCACACAGTGTGGATCCACCACTTCTTGTCTGCAGCACAAACCCCACCATGTCCCCTCCTCAGGAACAGCCTTCCCTGCCTCCCCTTCCCAGGGCCCACTTCCAAATCTAGGGAGATGCTGCCCCAGACACCAGCACAACACCCACTTCTGTATTGATAAAACACAAATGGTAAATAACTCCCAAGACTCACCTGCTTCTTGGCTAAAACTTTTTCTATGTCTAGCTTTAAGAGGAAGCAGCCTAGAAAAGAAGCTCCAGCCAAAAAGCACCTGAGGGAGGATGGAGTTCAATCACCCAGAAGTGGAGAACTACATGTTTTTGCCAGTTGTTTATCTATTGAGCACAGGAATAGATTCACTGCCTCACACGAGACATAAGATTTAAATTCTCAGCTAAACCATCTAGACCTGACAAAATACAGAAGTGATGACACTTAAAGCCAGGAGGCTTCTCCCCAGGGCTCTGGCCTCTGGCCTCTGGCCTCAATGCAAGCCCAGGAACTTATTCTTCCAAGGAATAATCTGCTTAATTCTACACATTAAATGACATCATCACAAGAATTAAAATTAACTCCTGACATCTAAAGTCACCCACAAAAAATACATCAAGACCTATAATTCTCACTGTGTCTGTTCTTTATCCACCCCAACAGACTCCATGTACCTTCAACCTCTACTTCTATAATTCTGTTTCTTAGCATTTGGTTTCTTATCTAAGCACTGGGATCAATATCTTCGTATCTCATCAAGTGTGCCAAAATTTTAGTTGTTTCTAACATATTTGGAGATTTAAAACCCAACACATGCAACTGCTAAGAACTGGTATTTGCTTGTTGGCGTTTAAACACAGGTTTGGTGTCGGGTAAACACATTTACACTTCAGCAAAGGGAGATAAGCTAAAAAGAAGAAACAGATGTTCACAGATTTCTCTTGCTCCCTTAAATTGTTTAATTTTGAGAAATATGTTTGAAAGGGTTTTCTAGAAAGTCTCCATTTCCAAGTCTAGGCCTGCAGTGCCAGGTGTGCTGTGTTGTTTATTGACAGAAAACAAAATAATCCCCTGATCCATGAGAGTGCATTAATTTTTAAAACCTATCTCAGTATTTGGTTAATTAATCTGTATGGAAACACATCAGCAGCTGAAATCAGTCATCTCTCAACACGTCAAACTGAGGGAAAACAAAAGAACTATGTGTCAAAGTAAGTTTTCTCTAAATGAAGCAACAAAAAGAAAAAAAAAGAGCTAATAAATCCTGCTGATCTTCTTTCTAATCATCAATTTGTGTTAATTTTAAACGTAATTTTCACCATTTTACACTAAAGTTGTTTTATGTGCAAACTCTTTATTGAATCAGGTATTTAGGATTGTTCCCTGTGGATTAATTTACCTTCAGAACAGCCCTGGATGATATAAGTACTGCTACCTGGGCTGGAAGCAACTGCTCTATGGTCTTCATCTCTTCTGTGAGCTATTTTAAACCAAACCAATGTTGACTTTATTTAAAAGGCAGCAGCAGGTGAGCTATGAGCCAGCACCAGGAACTGACATTCAGGGCACATCTCTGGGGAGGCAAAGCTCCCCAACAGTGTGACCCAGAGACCTGCTCAGAAGTGACAGCTTCACAGCCAGCACCTGAGAGAGGAACATCTGGTTTCAGACAGTCCCTACTATCTGCACCAACACTGTGTGGGGCTAAAAAGTTGGCAGATTGCACACAGTGAAAGATTTGCTCATCAAGGAGTCTTCAAGGTGAAGGTCCAAGGACTAGAAGATCATTACAGGTTCCTTTCAAAGGAAAGAAAATTTATTACATTGCACTGCACTGTATTCTACCCCTTCTCTTTCCCTTCTTCTTCCCCTTTCCCTTCCCCATCCCATTCTATTCCATCCTGTCCCAGCCCATCAGAAAGAACATCATCTCAGTCCCCAGTAGGATCAAGCCCACCAACACCTGTAACGAGAAGAAAATCTGGAAAACAACATTATTTCTGCAAGTTTGCCACATTCATGCTCTGAACTTCCCAGAGCTGCTGAGGGCATCCCAGGACAGGGCTGTGCTCATGTGGCAGGGGGGGTGAGCACAGCCCTGCAGGGATTAACTGTGCTTACAGCAATAATCTCTTTAGAGGGTTGCGTGGGGAATGGAGACCCACCCTGGGGATGAATCCTAGCTACAACAGGACTCCTGTTGCATCTTTAATGGATCTAAATGACACATACATGTTAAAAATATTCAGGGCCTTAATCCAGAAGCAGAGAAGCTGATTGAAACAGGCAACAGCAGCTAGGAAGGAACATGGTAACATCCCTGCCTGCACTTCTGTGGGTACACACAAAGCACAGGAGAGCAGCAGAACTTCAGATGATACTAAAAGTTAACTTCTAGTTAACTTGACTCTTTAGGGGCTCTGAGCAACCTGATCTAGGCAATGGTGTCCCTGGACTTGATCATCTTAGAGGTCTTTTCCAACCAACATGACTCTATGATTTTTCAACCCAAGGATACCTAATCAACCATTAGTTCAAAAGAATGCTCTTAAGAGGCATCCTGTCTGATGGACCTCAAATACATCACACAGCAGGAATTTCCATCTCCGGAGAGGCAGATCTTTCAACCCTGAGTCTCTCAGACAATAGCCAGCACATCAGGTTATGTGATGGGACACGTTCAGCCATGACCAGAGCATGTAGGGATGTGGGAAGGGCTGCAGAGATGCTGTGAGAGAACGTGCAGTTACATGAGGGTCTTTGCATTGCTGGATCCAGCCAGAGGGAACAGAGAGAGTTGGGGTGTTCAGCCTGGAGAAGAGAAGGCTCCAGGGAGATCTCAGAGCACCTTCCAGTGCCTGAAGGGGCTCCAGAAAAGCTGGGGAGGGGCTTGGGACAAGGGCAGGGAGAGAGAAGACATGGGGGGATGGATGAAAAGTGGAAGACGGAGATTGAGGGGAGACATGAGGAGGAAATTCTTTACCATGAGGGTGGTGAGAGCCTGGCCCAGGTTTCCCAGGGAAGCTGTGGCTGCCCCATCCCTGGCAGTGTTGAAGGGCAGGTTGGATGGGGCTTGGGCAACCTGGGCTGGTGGGAGGTGTCCCTGCCCATGCAGGGGGTTGGATCTACATGATCTTTGAGGTCCCTTCCAACCCAAACCATTCTATGATTCCAAGAACACTGATGAAAAAAGAGCAGAGCACTGCAGTGACTGGGCTCTGCTCCATTACACAGAGCACAGCAGGTGCTGTTGGCAGCAGAAGAGACATCCCTGTCTCACAGAGACACAGGGAGGATTGTTGCAGGGCACAGGGTTGGATGGGGCAGCCATGGAGGTGACACTGAACATGGGAAACCTGACAGCTGGGCAGGAACAGCTGAGGGGCTCAAGAGCACTGCAGTAATACCATATGTAGATAAAGATAGATGTGTGCTTATATATATTTTATATATATATACTTTATATCTATCCCCACTCTCAGCTGGCACACAGTCTCTCAGTATTTAATATCAACACAGACAGAATCTGAGGCGTCTAAACCATCTGAACACTGCAAACCACATTCATGGATAGTAACCGGGGCAGAGCCTGGCTGAGCAGGGCCAGCAGCAGGTCTCCCTGCACAGCCCCCCTGCCTTGTCCCCAGGATTTCCCCCATCTCTTCCCACAGGATTTCCCCATCTCTTCCCACAGGATTTCCATGCTACCCTCTGGAAAGGCACTACCTGCTTTGAAGACATGTGGACTTCAGTGCCAAAGAGGAATACACTCCAGAGATGCTGGAGTCACCCACAGTCCTACCTTACTTTTAGCATCCCAGTTACTGCTGCATTTTCCTTGGCAGAGAACTTGCCTACATCAAGCTTTCATTTTCAAACCTGGCTCACTTCCCTTGGTTAAA